CTAGTTCAGTTCTAGTTCAGTTCTAGTTCAGTTCTAGTTCAGTTCTAGTTCAGTTCTAGTCAGTTCTAGTTATTCAGTTCTAGTTCAGTTCTAGTTCAGTTCCTAGTTGCAGTTTCTAGTTCAGTTCTAGTTCAGTTCTAGTTCAGTTCTAGTTCAGTTCTAGTCAGTTCTAGTTCTAGTTCAGTTCTAGTTCAGTTCTAGTTCAGTTCTATGTCAGTTCTAGTTCAGTTCTAGTTTCAGTTCTAGTTCAGTTCTAGTTCAGTTCTAGTTCAGTTCTAGTTCAGTTCTATTCAGTTAGTTCAGTTCTAGTTCAGTTCTAGTTCAGTTCTAGTTCATTTCTAGTTCAGTTCTAGTTCGTTCTAGTTCAGTTCTAGTTCAGTTCTAGTTTAGTTCTAGTTCAGTTCTAGTTCAGTTCTAGTTCATTTCTAGTTCCAGTTCTAGTTCAGTTTCTAGTTCAGTTCTAGTTCAGTTCTAGTTCAGTTCTAGTTCAGTTCTAGTTCAGTTCTAGTTCAGTTCTAGTTCAGTTCTAGTTCAGTTCTAGTTCAGTTCTAGTTCAGTTCTAGTTCAGTTCTAGTTCAGTTCTAGTTCAGTTCTAGTTCAGTTCTAGTTCAGTTCTAGTTCAGTTCTAGTTCTAGTTCTAGTGTTCTAGTTCAGTTCTAGTTCAGTTCTAGTTCAGTTCTAGTTCAGTTCTAGTTCAGTTCTAGTTCAGTTCTAGTTCAGTTCTAGTTCAGTTCTAGTTTCAGTTCTAGTTCAGTTCTAGTTCAGTTCTAGTTCAGTTAGGTTCTAGTTCAGTTCTAGTTCAGTTCTAGTTCAGTTCAGTTCAGTTCTAGTTCAGTTCTAGTTTCAGTTCTAGTTCAGTTCTAGTTCTGTTCGTTCTAGTTCAGTTCTAGTTCAGTTCTAGTTCAGTTCTAGTTCATTCTAGTTCATTCTAGTTCAGTTCTAGTTCAGTTCTAGTTCTAAATGAATGACAGACAGGCTGTATAATTTCATAATTTTGAAATAAAATGTTAATTATTATTTCGTAATCCAAAACCTCTTATTTTCTTTAAAAATATGCCTTTTGCCTAATTACACAGGTGACCAGACAATTGTTTCATTTTCATGAAAAATTTCTTCCAACTTTCAATAGATCAACTAAAAGAAAAACCAAACAAATATGTCATTGAAGTGTCATCCGTTTGACATTAACTCGTTTTGGGTCATTTATTTTGAATGTGACGGAAAGGGAGAATACTCTAGTAAAATAAATTGTATGCTAGGCTCATTAACAATACAAACTAAAAATATAATTTTCTTTCGGACTGTATTACTTGTTTTCAATGTTAATTCCTATTTGGTAGGAAAAAATCAACAAACTAAACCGCACAATTGTCATACCAAACGTCCGAATGCTACGAGCAACCAACCGACATAAGCGGTCATATCAAGGTTTTCAACATGTGTGTACGTACAAACTGTAGACAATAAATTATTTTTATTAAAAAAACATTATTTAGTGTTTTTTGAAATACAAGTAAAATTATACAAAAACACACGTAACACATTTCAATTTTTTTGCGCAATGAAAGATTTTGTTGTTGTGTGAAAAACTATTTTCTTTTTGACATTCATATTGGCGAAAATTTTCAAATTCAGGCCTCTTTTATATACAGAAAACATGTTGCGTAATGTTATTTTTTCTTTGCAGTTCATGTTTTTTTTGTAGTATATATTGTATATTAAATAAAAAAAACTAAATTATTCTTAAGTAATTATGATTTGTTTATAAATTCTTTTAACATTTAAAGAGAAAGAGAAAAACTTGAAAGAGATGACAAAAATGCAAAAAAAAATATAAAATAAAATATGCTCTTGTTATGAAAAGGTTTTGAAAGAGAGTCAAACATTAAAGGAGAATATTGGGTAATATTTCCAAAGGTCTTGCTCTTAATATGTTGTGTAAGAAGAGGATAACATTGTGAAATAATGCCTTGAGGTACGGTCCATTTATATATTAGGGGTTTCCCCAATATTAATGCTGCCATTACATAGAAAGTTAAAAATTCTAGTGAATTTCCGAATGAGTGAATGAATGAATGAATGAATGTGAATAAAAGGCACTTTAATTTGTGTAGTCAAACTATAAAAATGTCAAAAGCTTTTTTGTAAATAATAAAATATGTGTAACCAAATGCCTCAACTTTGCTTTAATGTAGAGTTATTTGTGTTAATAACAGAAATATCTGCATATTATATTCTTATAGCTTAAGACACTTTCTATCAGTATACAAATTTTCATAAAAAAGTAAGCATTAATAACATTTACACCCCTTTCAGTCTTACATGGCGTATGATTAATATTAATTATTTTTATACTAAAGTAATTATAAAGTATACGCCTGATATAACTATTAAAAAAGCACAAAAATTCCATTTGCAGCCAACCCCTTTTAATACTTCAAGTGATTTTTTTTTCATTATTTGCTCTTGGTTAAGCCTCTTTAAGTACTTTTTAAGCACTTGAGACCCACCACAACTACTCTGCATTTATAATTTGTCTTTGTGCCTTTTAAATACTGTTGATCATGGCGCTTGAAGCGTAAAAATATTATGTACAAGTGCTATTCGTAGTAAGAATTTTGCTGCGTATGTGTTTACACTGTAAAATTAATGTTAAACTAATACGGTACATTGAACTTTAATATGCACTGCTAAATCTAAGAAATAATAATAATAATAAAATTTATATAAAAAGCCAAAGAATGAAAATAATTTTGCAGTTTCTGGCTTTTAGTTTTAGAAAACACTACTTTTAAATGTTTTTTTTTCAGTTGTTTGGGAGAAAAACTGAAATAAATTTATTTGAAACGAAGATATAGAAAAAATATTGGCATTTTATCAAAAGAAATGAGCATGAAATTTGAAAATTTTAAATTAAAACGAAAATTTCATTTGGAAACATAAATTGGCATAATTATTGAATAAAATAAATTGAAAGTAAATGGTGTGAAATACAATGGGTAGAGATGGCAATGAAAGTGCACTAAAATTAATAAAAAGCTAATAGAATATTATTGCAAGTAAATAAGAAAAAAGCTAGTTTTTCCAGAAAAAGCTTTTATGAATATAACCATAAGTATTTCCTATACACTTTCAAAAGCTTTAAATGGTGTTTATAATAAAGCTATTTTTAATATTATAAAAAAAAAATAGTTTGTAGAAAAGCCATACTTGCTATAGAAGTTTGCTAGCCTATGCCTTCTAAAAGCTCTTTTATGAAAACCACATTATACTTTGTAAACAAATGTTGTATAGAACAATAAGCTTTTACTTACAATTTCTCGTATTTGGTATATAAAGCTTTTATTTTAAGGCTTTATATAGCTTCTGGACAGTTTCTATTACTGTTGGACTTATTGCTTAATATCTTACTCTTCTTTTCAAAAGATTAGCACAAAAGCTCTTATTAAGTTATTAAAACTCTTAATAGAGAGCTTTTTCAAAATCTTGTGCAACTGCATCTTTCAAAAACATTGTGTGAAAGATTTTATTTAGTTAAAAAGCAGTTTCGTTAATAATCACAACATTTGAAAGCTTTTATGATTTTTCTAAAGATTTTAGTAAAAGCTTTTTAAGTTTAAGTTTTTAGTAAAAGGTTTTAGTAAAAGCTTCTTTTTATAATATCTTTATTAAAAGCTTTTTAAAAGTTACATTTTTGAAAGCTTTTATAAAAATTTTTCAAAAACTACTTTTTTGAAAGCTTTTATTATAAAAGCTTTTTAAAAACTACTTTTTTGAAAGCTTTTATAAAAGCTCTTTAAAAATCTTTTAAAAAATCATCTTTCAAAAGCTTTGTATAAAAGATTTTATTTTATTACAAAGAAACTAACTAAGCTTTTAATCTGAACTTTTATGAATTTTCTGTAAGAGTTGATTAAAAGTTTTGATTGAAAGCATTTTAGAAAAATCTAAAAGTTTTACAGTTTTTTTACAGTTTTTGCTACGTGTTTTTTAAAGTTTTTATTGAACTTTTCTTGATTTCTTTAAAATTTTTAGTTCAAGCTTTTTTTTCTTTAAAAACAAGTTTTTTATAAAAACTATTTGTAAATATCTTGTCGAAACTGATTGCACTATGTTTTTCGTACAAATTTTTTAGAGCTTTTTCTTACAGCTATCAAGAGCTTTGAAGATACATTTTTAGTTATCAAGAGCTTTTCTTCATAAGAAAATATTGTGAGAGCTTTCCCAGTTTATGAAAAAATTGTTTGAAAAACTAACACCGTAGGATTTTGTACCAACGATTAGAGCTTTTTCAAAAAGTTGCAAAAAGGTTCTGAAAGTTTTTTTCTAATAGCATTTTTAAGTATTTTAAAAATCTTTTGTTAGATATTTCAGTTCTGAAAACTTTTATTTCGAGCTTTTTGTAGTTGGTGCTTAAAAGCTAAAGAGCCAATTAAAAAAAAAAATAAAATAAAAAATTTTATAAAAATCTAAAATTTAAAAAAAAAACTTGGTCAAAAAAAAAAAAACACACCGAACATCACCTGTGTGATCACTAATGACGATGACTTTGGTGTGTATTGCAGTCACTTCAAAACAAAAACATTACTCATTCAAAATATTTAAATATTTATTTTTTAAAATACACACATACTCACACAATAATGCTTAGCAACATACTGTCAAATATGAAAATTAAATGAAAATAAATGGAAATTTAAGTTTTCTAATCATTTAATTTAATAATCATAAAAGAAAAGCGAGATGAATACAAAAACAAAAGAAGTGTGTGGCTGTCAATCATTACTAAAGATTTGACAGTTTATGTGACAACGACAATAAAAGCAAATACATACTGATTGTTTTACTTAAGTAGCAACAATAAACACACAACATTTTTATAAATAATTTTAGAAAAAAATTTCGAAATAAGATTTATGTAGTGTTAAGTATTTTAAAAATGTTTTTTGCTTTAATTTTTAACGCCAAAATTATATTTTTTTTTTTCTCTTCAGCTCCCACAAATTTCAAAAGTCTTTTATTGCGTGCCGAAGTTTTAAGGAAAATGAATCATTATCAAAGCTCATTGGCTGATGTGGATAATGCATTGAAAGCTCGTTATACTTCAGCTAAGGTGAGTATTTAGATGGTTGAATAAATTTTTCCTTGGTTGAATAAATTTAATATATTTTTCTTTGAATTTTTATTAAAGGCCCATTATTTGCGTGCCTTGGCTTTAAGCGATTTAAGCCGTTATGAGGAGGCTTTATATGAAATATGTTTGGCTATTGGCATGGACAAATCTTCAAATCTCAGCAATACTGAATTATTTCAACATGATCTCACTAAGGTAACTTTTATTACTTTTGTAAAGCTTTTTAAAGTCTTTGATTAAAACTTTCTTACAAACTTTAATGATAATCTAAACGCTTTTATTTTAGAATTGCTTGATTATTAAAAAATACAGTTAAAAGCTATATTTTTTCTAATAAACAATAAAATAAAGCTCTGATAACTAGCCATATAAAAGCTTTCTATTTAGCTTATAACTTTTTAAATTACTCTAGAAATACACTTTGTATTTTTTATTAGCATAAAAGCTTTATATATAAAACATTAAAACCAACAAAAGCTTTAAAGGTTTTTCCCTCAATTCACACCAAAGAAAACTTTAAGCTTTTTTAATCTAAATTATAAAATATAGTTGATCATATACAAAAGCTTTTAAGCATTGTAAGCTACGAACAAAAAAGCTTTCATCTAAACTAAATAAATTGGCAATTGGAATAGTAAAAGCTTTAATTACTTAAAGAAATTTACAAGCTTTATATAAATAAAATCTTGCAAATTTCTTTCAAATGATTTTACACCAAAAAACACTTAATTTTCTTAAACACATAAAGCTTTCACAATTAAAGTTATAAAATAAGAAAGATTTCAAAAAGTTTTTTTATTGCATATACAACATAAGTAAATTGGTATTTTGAAAAAGCTTTAGAAACTTTGATTTAAAAGCTTTGGACGTTTAAATCTGCAATAAGAAACAATACAATACAAACAAGCTTTCAAGTTAATAGTAGATATACATATAAAGCAAGTTCAAAGTATTTTAATATTGTATATGAAAGCTTTTTAATAGGTAATCAAACATTAAAGCTTTTTACATTACGATACCAAAAAATAAGAAAGTTTACTAGAAAAGCTTTTTAACTAAGAGAAATATTTATCTTACAGATTCTCCAGAAACTCCTTTCCCAAACACCCAAATGTCTCAAGGTTGACCTCTCATCGTTACGTTCAAAAGCTCCCTACAGCGTCTACTCTGAACACAGATTGAGGCGTAAAAACATTACGCTACTCAGCAATGCTGTGCAAGATGAAGAACCTTTAAATCTGTATGAAGATGATGATTTTCTTTCGGCCAATTATGGCAAAGAGTGTGATATATTGGCCGATGAAGATGTCTTGGCCTGTACGGATTTTCTAAATTGTGCTGATAAACGTTCAACTTATGCAAGTATTGCCAAGAAATATGAATTGGAATTGAAAAGACAAACAACCAGAAAACATTTTAGACGAAAATGGATGCAAAAAGAGACGGAGTTGCTGCCTAGCATCGATGTGGAGAGTGCTAGATGCAGCAGTCAATTTCGTAATGTATTGGAGCGCATGCAACAGGAAATTGTGAGACTGAAAAGTGAGTTTTTTTTTATACTCTAATAAAAAGATAATAAGAATAATGTACTTTTTCCCTTACAGAAGTAGAATCTACTCCTGAATATTTCCAAAGACAACTAGTAGCTGTTAATCCCTCTCTAATAGATGCCAGTGATTTTGATTGTGTTTTGTGTTGTCGCACTTTCTGGAAACCGGTAGTCACACCCTGTGGCCATACTTATTGTTTAGTGTGCTTGGATCGTTGCATGGATTACACTTCCTCATGTCCTCTGTGCATGTCGCCCTTAGTGGAGCCCAGTCTGAATATGTATCAGGGTGCCTCGTCGCCTGTTCCTTTAATGCTAACCAAAAGACCGGTTACCAAATTTCTAGAAGCCGCCATGAAACGTTTCATTCCAGATAGTTACCACAAACGTTTTCGCCAAGAAATGGTTATGGAACCCTCAGTACCCATATTCATATGTACCACAGCTTTTCCCTATGTTCCATGTCCACTGTTTGTTTATGAACCGCGCTATCGTCTAATGGTGCGTCGCGCTGTTGAATCGGGTGAAAAGCAATTTGGCATTGTCCAGCCGCACAGTGGGAAATCTCGTTATTATGATTATGGCTGCATTTTGGATATAAGAGATTGTGTTCTATTGGGTGATGGTTGTTCGATTTTGAGTACTATCGGCTGTAAACGTTTTAAGATTTTGGCACGTAACGAAAAAGATGGCTATGAAACGGCTAAAGTGGAATACATACACGACGAGACTATACCAGATGAGCATTTAGCGTATGTTAGTAAAATGCATGATGTTGTTTTATCGAAAGCCATTCAATGGTACAAAAGTTTAGGAGAGGATTTAAAGCATGAGATTCTTCAGAGTTATGGTGAAATGCCCATGGTGGAGGAGAATTGGGAAACAATAGCCGATGGTCCGGCTTGGGCCTGGTGGATAATTGCTCTGTTGCCATTGAGGCCTCAGTTAAAGGTAAGTGACTTTCGAATCGGTTTTGTATAAATGAAAAATGAATTTTTTTTAAGGAAAAAACATTCTGTAATAGAAAAGCTTTTGAAATGAAGAAAAAAAATTACAAATTTTTTTTTAAATGTATAAGCTTTTGCTAATAGTACAGATGAATGCTTTAGAATTGTTTTTCATAACATGTTTTTTTTTTTTTCTTAAAAGAAAAGTTGTTAGAATTTAGAAGTTTTGAAAAGCTTTTAAAGATGTTTAATGTTCTGTTTCAGAAACAAAGCTTTGGGAAGTAAAACTATGCTTTGAAAAGCTTTTAAGATATACTGTTTATAGATTGGAATAAGACTTTAATGAAATGTTTTATGTTCTGTTTCTAAAACAAAGCTTTAAGAACTAAAACTATGCCTTGAAAGCTTTCAATATAAACAGTTTTACACTTCTTCTTATAAAGATCCTATAAGACTCCTTTAAAGAACTTTTATCTTATAAAGCTTTTTCTCTTATCATAAAACTATTTCATGGTTTTTACGAACTACGAAGAGAATAATTCACGTTTTGTTGAGGTAAAATCTTCAGTTATATGTTCTATTGAACTTTGGTGTGGTAATACTTATGTTGTATTTGAAAGTTCATTCCAGTAAGAAAATTTATTTGTATATTAAAGTCCAAGTTTTAGCAACATTTAATACAATTGAATAGCTTTTCTATTTGTTGTCATACAACTACAGTTGATGTTGCAATTTTTTGAAGCTTCACTGTTACTTTAGTAAAGCCCAAGCTTTAGCATCATGTTGCCACAATTAAAAGGCTTTTCTATATGTTGCAATACAATCACAGTTGCTGCTGCAACTTTTTAAAGCTTCACAGAATCCTGTTACTTTAAAGTTTAAACAATTTTTCGCTTTTTTTATACGTTGAATTAAAAGCTTCTGATATATTTTCTATAGAAATTTATTGTTGCAACATATGTGTCAAAAATTTAAATAAATTGGGACATTTCGGAATGAAAATCTATATTGTGTAGTGAAGTTTAAGCCTTAGCAACATGTTGTTTAAATGACTACTCTATTTGTTGTTACACAGTTACGGTAATAGCATTTTACTTTAAATTACTACAATTAGATGATATAAATAAAACCTATTCGAAGCCAATTAACGATAACAGTTATTAAGTAACAATTAATTATTAACTATTTGCATTACAAGCAAATTACTCACTTTAAACTGCAAATGATTAATGGACTCATTTTGCTAATTGTTACTATTTTTATGCATTTATACAAACTAATGCAAAGTATTTTTCCCCTTTTTAACAGGTTGATATCTTGGCAACAACATCTTTGGAGAAACGTTTGCGTGCCATAGAAAAAACCATACACTCTATGCCGGGCAATTGTCACTATCAACGTGTATCGCAAAATTGTGATGTTGCCGTAGTGGTACACAATCAGCAACATCATTCGCATCATGATGAAGACGATGTTGATGAGATTGACGACGAAGAGGGAGATGATGTTGTGCATCGAGTACATGTTGACGATGAAGATGATCTCACCCATGATGGTATTGATGAAGAAGTGGAAGTTGATGATCAGCAGCAAGCCTCTTTGCAACATCATAGAGAGAATGTTGCACATGATCAGCAACAACATACAGCTCACACACCCTTAGAGCAACAGCAACAAATGCATCAGCAACAGTGTGACAGTGTTACTACAGTTGATGAATGTTGTCAGCGCACAACTACAGCTGCTTTAGTTCATGGTCAACTAGAGTCAGCTGATGAAGCTTTAGCATCCACAAATGATCATCATCACCACCACCATCATCATCATCATTCTCATCATAGGCATCATCGTTCGGGTCATGCCCATTCTTTGTTGTTATAAAATTTCTTTATAAAACAATTTATAATTATAAAAAAACAGTCAAAACACACCTTTTCTAAAAAAATTCTAACAAATTATTATAAAATATTTTTCTCATTCTTACTATTATTACAACATTTGTATAACGCTGACTGTTGGGAATTTTTCTATTTCTAATTAATTTAGAATTAATTTAGTCTGTAGGTATGAATGTTTAGTAGGTTTTTTTTGTATGTCTGTATGTATGTGTAGCTGATAATTATTTATTTATAGATATGTATGTAAAAAATATTTAATTAAACAAATTATATATGTCTATTATGTGATAATATAAAAAAAATAGTTTAAAATATTTTTTAAATTTAAATAAAATAAATTGAAAATTATGGTAAAAACTTAATATTTAAATTAAAACAAAAAAATCTAAGTAAAATTATGAAAAATATAACATTTAAAGCCTGCAACATGTTGCCATTTGTAAAATGCTATTATATAAGTAAAATTTGTAAACAACATGTTGCTGGCAACATTTTGTAACTAGTTTTCTTATGTTATATATATGTAAACTTATTACTTAGCTAAATTATAAAAAAAACATATGCATTAAGACTGGCAACATGTTGCTGGCTTTCGGTTTTTAGTTTTCTTTCCCTTCATTAATTCCTTTTAATATGTTTTATTTTAAAGAAAAACAATGTGAATGTTAAATTTATTATACTAGAATGAAATATTATTATCTAGGGGCCAATATACCGTAGCTGAACCAGTAGTTTAACTTTGTCTAATTATAACAAAAACCACAACTAAATCTAAACTTAACTTAAACTAAATCTTATAAGAAATATGAAATTGAATAGAAATTGGAGTAATTTAAATTTAAATCAATGTCTATGTTAGAAATTTAGTAAAAATTGTATACAAAATTAATGTAAATTTAGTTAAAACTAAACGATTTATAAGGAAATGCAAAATTTTGCAGATTAAGGCAATTCAAAATTATACTGGGTTCTAAAGAGAACAAAATTATTTGCTATTGGATTCAATTGTTATTTAATCACGAGAGTTGTCATATGTTGTTATTAACTTTAAAAAACAACTTTTGCAACATGTTGCTAAGATTGCATGCTAAACTTAAATTCAGCAAAAAGAAATAACCGGCTAAAGTCTTACAAAAGCTTCAAGGTCATGAAACTCTTTTTATTATAAAGATATTTTTATATTTCTCATATGTGAAGGGCATGGAATTGTTATTAAATTTAATTAAGAAATAACTTCTTATACTCACTAGAGAGAATACTTCAATCAATTGCTTTTGTACATTTCTGATACTGAGAGTCTTCAAAAAAGGACTTCTTGTATCTCACAAAGTAGCTTTTAAAAGCTTTCCAACATCGACTTTAAAGCTTCTTAGCTTTTAATTGCTATTTTAAAGTTATAAAAATGACTACGCTTGGCAACATGTTGATAATGTGTTGCACATTTTGCAAGTTTTTTAAAAAAATTAATAAATTAGGTTCTAATTAAAAAGAAAATTTTAATTTTTTTTGTTAAAGTTAATTTATATTTCTATTTAATTTAAATTTCAATAACTTTTTAAGCAACATGTTGATAAGGAAATAACTATAAAGATTTTTTTCTACAAAACAAAATTTCTTAACAAAAACCTAAATAAAACTTTAAATAGAGCTAAATAATGGTGAATAAAATGTATAACATAATTAGCAACATGTTGCTAAGATGTTAATTCTAACAAAAAGTCAAATTTACCTTATGTTACTAAGCATTTTAATTGCTTTTAAAGGTAGCATTTTATAAATACAATAACTTGTTAAGAAAACAGCAACAACAACATGTATTAATAATTAATCCCTTAATTAACAAACAACATGCTGCTGAGACTTAAGCTAATTTTATTACAACATAAAATTTCCTCTTTTCATTTAATTTTTTACAAGAAAAGTTTAAATTTAAAGTTAGCGTAGAACTCTTATGTTTACCTTAACTTGTTAAGCAATATGTTCCTAAACATAAACAATTTTAAAAAGTTTTTTGAATTTTATTTTAAAATTTTTAACAAGAACAGTTTGAAATAAAATTTAACGTAGAACACTTAAATTTAACTTAACTTATTTAGCAACATGTTCCTGAACATAAACAAATTGGAACAGTTTTTAGAAATTTGTTAAAAAACTTATATTTTGTGTTGAAAAAGTAACTTAAACCTAAAAAAGTATTTCAAGTAATCATTGTTCCTTTCTTTTTTTTTGATTTCAACAAAGCAACATGTTGCTAAGATATGTCACTGTTAATTTATGGAAAGTTGTTTTAAACTGTTGAACTTCAGTTCAAAACAGTAACAAGAGAAAGATTATTTCTAAATTATATTTACATTATAGGCAACATGTTGCCAAATATTAGGAACAAGTTTTTATATAAAACAAATTATTTTTGTTTATGTATATTTCGAAAACAATAAAATCTATTTAAAATATTATGTAAATTTTACATCATTAAGAGATATGTTTCCAAATTATTAGGTAAAATGTTGTTAACCAAAGTTATAAAACAATTTTCGGAACATTTTTGCAAAAATGAGCTTTTTATCTTATAATAATAGAAAATGTAAAAGAAATTGCAGATTTTTCTGTTAAAGTATCTTGAATAAACAAGTTTTCATAAAGCAACATGTTTCTAAGCCATAATTTGTATTAAGAAGATTTTAAATTCTTTGAAAATTAAATATATTGTAATAATGTTCAGAGTTCTTTACAATTTCAATGACAAAAGATGCTAAATTAAGAAAAAATATGTTTTACTAACATCATGCTGATTAGCAACATGTTGCTGAAAGTTTAAACTTGGAAAAAATGTGACTAAAAAGTAAACATTTACTTTCATCTTCAATCATTATAATTTTCAGGTTTATTTAAGAACAAAATTATTAGAAATATGTTGCAAAATTTTATAAAGAAAACAACAATGTTGCACACGTTGCAATATGTTGCCAACAACATAATGCTTGTGAAAAAGTTAAACACTTAAAGAAATTCTGTTAATTTACTATTGACAAATGAAACTTTAAGGCTGCCTGCCAACAACATGTGACTTATGGAAAATGTTTATAAACATAAAAATATTGTTTCACAACTCCCCAAATAATTTTGAATTGCTTAAAACCCTAAACAAACTATAGTAAACTTTAAAAAAAATTATTTAAATTTAAAAATATTTTTTTAAACAAATTTTAAACATTCCACACTTGTTTTTCACATTTAAAAAAAAAAAATTAAAATAAAATTAATAAAAACATTTTTAAAATAAACAAAAAATTTTCTTAAACAAATAATTTTAAACAAAACAATAAAATATGCCAAAATTTTTAAGCTTAAATTTTTTAATAACAAAAATTTTAAAAAAATAAAATTTAACAAAACTAAATTATTTAAATAAAAATTTTCTTAATTTTTTTTTTTAGACAAATTCAATTAAACACATCATTAGTAAAACAACAACAGCAAAAAAGGTTTCTTAAATTAAAAAAAAAAAAATATTTAAATTAACAAAAAACGAAAACAAAATTCAAAAAAAAAAATACAAACAAACACAAAAATTCAAAATCAAAACAAGTGTGTATATTATTAAATAAAACTAAAGATTTATAAATAAATTCAAATTTAAATAACTTAATAATAATATTCAATTAATTACAAGTACATAAAATGCTGAAACAAAATGACAATCTGCATAATTTATTAAAAAAAAAACAAATTAAAATTAAACACAATAATAAATAAATTAATAAAAGAAAAAAAAATCCCCTTTAAAAAAAAAACAGAAAAATAATATGTAAATGAAAATAATAAAAAATAAACATTTCTTAGAAATTATTTTTTTATAACTAAACTAAAACTAAACTACAAATATATATATAATATGACTTATTATTATAATTTTCTAATTAATTTCCCTATAACTCTCTCTCTCTCTCTATCTAAAAAACCGTAAACTACTGTAAAAAAACCTAAAACTTTAAACAAATTTATTATAATAGTAAACTATTTAAAATTCCCTAAAAATCCCCTACTCTACCTAAAACTTAAATTTGTTAATTGTTTCTCAATTACAAAATATTTTTATAAAATCATCTTTTTATTTAAATTTTAAAACATACAACTTAGAACTTTTATTGTTGATCTTACTACAACTTACTATTCTTAAAATCTATTACTTTCATTCCTAATTTTTTTCTATACAAATTTATTTCTTTTTAAAAAAAAAAACTTTATTTTCTTTCTTAAACTCGAAATTTTTATTTAATTTAAGTTTTTTAGTTTTCTACTTTAAGTTTTAAGAATTTCATACTAAATAATATAAATGCTGTGAATATTTTAAGTACGTTTTTATTTTAGTTTTTTTTTAATTATCATATTCGCATTAAGCTTATTTATAATTTTACTAAGGATTTAGTTTATAATTTTATGTTTATATAGTTTATTATGTTAATGTTAAAAGAAATTTCTTTAATTTTCTAAATATCTTACGAGTATTTTTTTCTATTTAATCATAAACAAAATATAAAACAAATTTAATGTTTCCTCAATACAATTTTTTTACTTTATTTTGAAATAAAATTTAATATAATAAAAATCTCTTAAAAATAAACATAATAAAGTTTTTTATTTAAAATTTTGATAACAAAAGCTTTCTTTGTGGCTGAAAGCTTTAACTTTAAACTTTATCATTTTTAAAGAATTTAACTAAAATTGGTTAACGATATTCTTCTAATGATCCAATGGCTAACAAAAATTTGTGAAATCGGTTTACTATTTCACCTACACAATCGGACAACTCATTACCAAGTAATGTATGAAATAACAACTGTTAATTACAAAAAATTTAAGATTTATGAGAAAAGTTTTTAAAGTACTAAATTATTCGCCCGAATTTTGATTCTTAGTAGGACTTGCAATCTGAGTTGCAAAACATACACTGTTTTTTAATCAAAATCGGCTCAATGGATTCAAGATAATTTAATAAAATTTGGATCAATGATGATACGAACTGAAAATAATGAAAATCGCTCCATTATTTCACCTAGACACTGTTGCCAACTTTTTTCCCAAAAATATCGCTAAAGTCTACTGAAAAATAGCTAGAAAATAGCTAAATTCAAGACATTTTGAAAAATTTAGCGATAAATCGTCAAAATAATATTTATTATATGATTCTGAAAAGAAATAGCTAAAAAAACTAGCTAAATTTTTCAGATTTTTTATATTATTCTAAAAAGTCAGCGATTTATCGCTAAAATCTATATACATACGTAGGAATGGGATAGTGATACAAACACATCTTATAACAAACACATAAGAGAATCTTTTTTTATGTTAAATATTTTCACTTTGGGTTAGGAAAAATGTTATTTCGATATGCGACCCTATACAGATTGCTTTAGAAATGTTGTAAAGATAAATTGAATTTCGAAATGCTGGCCTTTATGGATCGATCCTTTATTTTCGGCATAAGAGTATTATTTATTTTTCCATTACAATACGATAACCATACGACCGTTGTAGTGTAGCAGACCAGGATCTCTGCTGGGAATCGAACCCACAACCCCCAGACTGACAGGCTAGCACACTACCAACTAGCCTACCGGGGCACCCAAAATTATTATTATACACTCCTTTTGTGGGAAGTTTATCTGCAATATCGATATGCGGCCCTATACGCCTTAGAAATGTTGTAAATTTTTAGGACTTTATGGATCGATCCTTTCGTCACTTATTTCCAATGTTCACTAATTTTTAGAATTATTGTAAATTTTATTATCATATCACTCATTTACTAAAAGACTAGAATAATTAAATATTCGTTTTTTAATTGAGTACAACAAAATATACCCCTTTTAAAGTTTTTCGTATAACTTTACCTGTACGCACAAATATTTGCTCCTAATTATGTTCTTCAGAACATTCAAAATAAGTATAATACACACAGCTAAAACTTAAATAATTTACATTGAATGCATATTTTTACATATATGTAAATATCGTCATTCGTAGCAACTTTTAAGCGATATTATCAAAATATAAATGAATAAAAAATGCCTTAAAATCTAAGGAAAAATCGCTAGATTTCCGGCTAATAGCTAAATCATATTTTTCCCCGCAAAATGGGATTAAAAATCGCTAGATTTGACGAGAAAATAGCTAAATTGGCAACAGTGCACCTAGACCCCATACAAGCGTAACCCCCGAATAGCGGTCTTGAGCTCATAATTATATGCTCCCTCTCTAACTCTAACTCCTATAACAGTTTCCCAGATATACGAATTTTTGTATTCAATACGTATGGAATGAGCCAAGACCGCCTTACGCAAGTCCGACCATTTTTCTCCTAAATATTCTCATTGACATTGTGTAAAATTTTAAGATTTCATCTACAATAGTTTTCCAGATAAATGAATTTTAGTATTTGAATTATATGGAAGGTGGTGCCCCCCTCCCCCTATTTCTAGTCCGTCCAATCCTAAACATTCATGTTTATGCTAAAGGTCATTGTGTAAAATTTTAAAATTTCATCTGCAATAGTTTCGCCGATAAATGAATTTTAGTATTTAATTCATATGGGTGGTGCCCCGCCCCGTACTTCTAGTCTGTCCAATTTTTGTCCTAAACATTCATGTTTATACTAAAGTGCCTTCGTAAAAAATGAGGACTCTAGCTGTTATATTTGCTCAGATATTGTAATTTAATATTTTCTTTATATGAAAGGTGCCACGCCCACTATAGCTAGGCTGCCCATTTTATCCTGTGGGACTGTAGCTCTTGCAGTTTCTGAGATATATGACTTTTAATACTAATTTTATATTTGGGCCTGGCACGTGACCCACTGAAAATTTTTAAGTAAAAAGTAGTCTATTGTTCCTTTCAGACATACAGAAAGAAACTGTGAAAATCTGAGAAAAACCGGTACAGCCGTTCAGCTTTATACATAAATTTTTTAAACCCAACATCAAAAAATATGGGGCTATATTGTTTTTATCATTCCGTTTGTAACACATCGAAATATTCATCTTAGAACCATAAAAGTATATAGAATCGTCCATCTGTCTGATGAAAACACGATAGAGTCCAAGTGGAAGTAGCTATTGCATTTATATTTTATATTTATGTACTTTGTTGGGTATTGAAAATGGGCAATATCGGTCCATGATTTCGCCTAGCCCTCATATAAGGTCCCCTTTCAGAATATAACTTTAACACTCATAATTGACTAAAAGAAGCAGCTATAGCGATTAAATTCGACATGAACATATTTTATAGGAACTTCAATACTTTTGTTAAAATTTTATAAGGATCGATCCATAATTGATCCTATCCCTCATATAAGGTCCCCTTCACAAAATTACTTTAGCGCTCATAACTGCCTAACAGAAGCATCTATAGCGATGGAATTCATGAACATATTTTATAAAAACATAAATCGCTTTGTAAAATTTTAAAAGGATCGGTCCATAACTGACCCTACCCTCCACATAAGGTCCCCTTCAGAAAATGACTTTAACGCTCATAACTGTCTAAAAGAAGCATCTATATCAATGAAATTCGACATGAACATATTTTAGAGGAACCTAAATCGCTTGGTAAAAATTTTAAAAGGATCGGTCCATAATTGACCCTATCCCCCATATAAGGTCCCCTTCAGACAATGACTTAACGCTCATAACTGTCTTAAAGAAGCATCTATAGCGATGAAATACGACATGAACATATTTTATAGGAACATTAATATCTAATATTTATTTAATTTTGTAAAGATCGATCCATAATTGACCCTAACCCCCCACCCCCCATATAAGGTCCCCTTCAGAAAATGACTTTATTACTCATAACTATCTAAAAGAAGCATCTATAGCGATGAAACTCGACATAAACATATTTTATAGGAACCTTAATATCTTTGTTAAATTTTGTAAGAATCGGTCTATAATTGACCCTATCCCACATATAAGGTCCCCTTCAGAAAATGATTTTAACGCTCATTATTAGCCTAAAAATGCTATGAAATGAAATTCAACATAAACAAGATTTGTATAAACTAAATTCGTTCTAGAAAATTTGATGAGGATCGGTCCATAATTGCCCTATGTACGCTTATTACTGGCTGGTAGCATTCCTTTTCGGCAATGATTTGATGGTGGGTATATAAGATTCGGCACAGCCGAATATAACACTCTTACTTGTTATATATATATAGATGTTTTAATATCTCTACAAAAAAGGCAGAACTTAGTTTTAGAATTAATGATCGGAGCTCATTTAACCCTAGTCCCCTTCAGAAAATTAGTTGAAAATCAATAATTCACTTATCAGCACTAGTATCACTATAAAATTCTGCATAAATAATTTTAATGTAAACATAAATCCCTCCTACATTATTTATAAGGATAGTCCCCCATTCACCCTTGTCCCCCTATAAGCCTAGGGGGACAAAAATGACCAATGTTTCGATGTGTTACAAATGGAATGACAAAATTAATATACTCCCAAAAAAGTACCTTGTGAAAAACGATGAGTACCAAAAAGTCCTCTTTATTTGGTTCTCACTTATTATGTTTTATAAAAAATTCAAAAAGTGCCTTTTGAAGAATGAAAAAGTACCAAAAAGTCCCCTTTTATAGGTTCTTACATACTCCGGGATTAATACTAATTAAAGCTTAATTCGTAATTAGATCCGCTTTGTTTTCATAAACAAGCTAGTACAAAAACAAAATTTACCGTATGATGCTGAGTGTTTTTGATTGTTTA